CGAGTGTGAGTGTTAATAAAAGTAAATATTCTTGCAACTTTGTCCTCTTCTGTAGTAGATGAAAACTCTTTTGCATTCCTATTTAGTTAAATGGACAAATGGTGTTAGGAAGGGAAGACAAAGTTTAGTGCATAGGTTTTTCTATCAAATGTGAGAACCCAGAATTTACTCACTGAAAATGTTTCTAAAAAAGGACTGATGCTTGCTTATTGCTACACATGAGAAAATCAGTGAATAAGCAAAGAAATGTAATTTTGGTCGAATGAAATCTACAGAAATACAGGACTTTTAGTGTACAACCCAACGTAAGATTTAGGCTTTCTTCCCAGCTGGAAAGACATCAGTTTTGCTCATGAACATAGAACCACGCATTAGCATAAACCCATTGAAATAGTGAAACGAAAGTTGAAAATAAGGTCAACTGAGACAGAAGAATGCATTTTGAAGGTTTGTACTGAAAAAAATTGACTGCAGCTACCCTTTAAGGTTTTACTTCTATAGTGCACAGATTGTGCATGTACTCAGGTTAACATAGATACTGATTATTGTTCTCAGTTTTGCCTCGTACGATATTAATCGCCTGTAGATATGCATAATTCTATTCTGCTTCCCCCCCATCATGACAAAATACAGCGTACATTTGAGTAACCGTTTGTTTTTCACCAACTTCTAAAACGCTAAGGAAAGTCTCCTCATTTTGTAACAAGTGATAGTTACCTATGATCTCTCAAAGGAAACATTTTGAAAGCTTTGTGCTTCATGACCCTAAGTTTACAATTGACATATTTTGCACAAATACACATTCCAGAGTGAAAATTAGTAAAACCCTAATGGCCCTGAATCCTCCAATTTTAATGATTTAAACATGACCCTTGGGAGTTAAAGTTAAAAAGAATACTGTAAATATATTTCATAATTATTGAACTGAATTGGATGGGCCCTACATGTACATTATATATGCTTCATCTTTCCCTTTGCGTAGCAATAAATTGTAGTGCTGGTACTTAGGAAACGTGGGTTTCTCAATGTTTCTTTCATTTACATGGCCTCAATTCCAGGTTCTGTCAACATTTCCCTCAAATTAAACTGCATAGCTGTACTAGAAAACTGTTGGAAATATTACCAGGTCCATGTTAGACTTGTATGAAAGTGAGTCAACATTCCAAAACTGGGCGGAAGGCTTGTTAGCCTGGGAAAGGACACCAGTGTACACACCTTAACAATGTAAATTTCACAACTTTCCTTGATTCTAAATACCAAAGGCTTCTGAAAACACAATCGGCCTTGTAGATCATTTTAAAGTTAATAACACTATAAGGGAGGATAGTCAAATCATTAAAATTAACTACTTCAGACTGATTTTGGAATTGAGGGTCACATAATGTACATACGCTAGTTTGGGTGGGGCCTTAAAAATTTTGGAATTTTCCCACTAATTTTTGTAGCCCTTTGAAGGGATGAGGCTACATCCAGGCACTTTTTTATGCTTTTGCAAGGGATTTAAAATGAAATCAAATGAAACAGACTCCAAAAATTTGGCTCCGGATCCATTCTTGCCCAAGTCCCAACCTCATACCAATCCTATCCCAAACTCGCCCAAGGCTATTCTTCCATGTTAACTCCACCCTGACCGTAATCCCAATCCCAGCCTTAACCTAGTGCAGCAACACACAAAGTACCCAGGTAATTATAGACTGATAGAACCTGGATCGTCCAACTTTATTCAGAAACAAAATGCAGCTGACTACACACAAGCCACATGGGCTGATCTACCAGAGGAAAGTAGGACTATTTCAAGACTGACAAAATCCTACTGTTACACATATCTTGCAAGAATCTTTCTACAAAATAAACATCTTTGAATAATCTGATTTATGATACAATATTTATAGGATACTTATTTTACAGTTCAGCTTTGTGAAATGTCCAAGTATGCAGTACAGCACAGGAGCTCAAAGAAAAAGCCCACGGAGCCTTGTGATTAAAACTACACAAATACTTCCAGAACCATTTTTCTTTCATACTAACCATCCAAAATCCATCGAAATCCATTCCCCTTTCGGCAGATTTTGATGAGGTTCAGAAAGCCTGAGGTGACAACATGTAAAGTATGAAGGACTTTGTCCAGGGGCCTTACGTACTGCTGGGGCATTCAGTGCATGTTGCCATGGCAACATTACTGATGAGGTCATGTTAGCCATGTGTGTTACATGTACAATGTAGGTACATCAACAAAGTCCACCACCTCAGTGGTGGACTTTGAAGCAAGCAAGGTGGATTGCCCAGGGAATTTGGATGGATTTGGTCCAGTGCCTTCTAAAAGACACTAGAAAGTTGGGATTAACTGTTTAAAAATGCACTTTTGAGATTTACGGAAACGGCATAATCATCTACAGTAAGCAAGTACTTTCACAGTTTTGAATTATGACCAATTCTCTTACACTTGCATGAAAATAAAACTTATCTGAGTCCAGAATCTTAGCGCATGTAATCAGAAACACCCCTTTTGGTTATAACGGGAACACCAAGTGTACACAAACCAACAGGACCACAAACTTTTGGATTTTTGTAGGATTAAAAAATTTCAGATAAGATTTACATTTATTTACACAGAGGTGGATGAAAAATTCCAAACATAGGACTGATTAAAAATAACATTTGGGTGGACTTTACAGAAAATGTCACCAGACCAGAGATCTTTTAACCCCTTCCAATCATTTCCTAATATATTCAGTAGCAAAATAAATTTGTATAGTGTCCTTCATATAGGAACACTTGTCAGTTTACTTAAATCATTACGTGCTTCAAACCCACTTTTGGATACATGTAAAGTTGTGATCATTAAATACAACGACGGATGTCTGGATCTTCCTGTAACAGACCTTAATTTCACAGAAATGTTTTTTTATCTGCACTTCAAGTAAAAAAGGAAATTAACTCATACAGTCTGCATAACTTTCATTAAAAAATAACGTACATATACACCATAACATCGTTGCTCATATCATAAGGACTGTAAAAAATGTTTGCTTAAAAATGCTATTCAAATTTCCAGTACTTGATAATCATTTATTTCGATGAAACATTTTTTCATACTTTTTACCAAAGATAAATTCACAGAAAAGGACATTTGTACACCGTAAACTGGCAACAAAACCAACTTTCACATGTCATTTATTATTCATTAATGTCAACACATTTCAAGGAAATTTTCAATCAGATTTCAGGAATGGCTAACAGCAATTTCTGCAAATCTCTGAGCACCATCAAGTTAACAAAATAAATAAGAATGTAAAAATTTCCCATATAGCTCTTGTTCAAGTGAGCCAAAAGATCACATGAAGCTTTAAAAAACTGCATAACGAAGTATTTTAGACAGAATGCTGTTCAGTGAAAAAAGATTTCTAATGAGGTATTTTGAAACAGATAAGAGTACTTCACAAGTAGACTTTTTTAAAAATATAAAAAAATAGCAAACCAATGATAACATAACATAACACTATCCAGGTATGTTGACCAAGTTCATTTGCAATCAAAGAAAGAAGAGAAGCAGGACATGGCAGATAAAGCCAAAAGAAAAATCCACATCCTCCTTGGATCTTACTTTCATTTCTGAGTGATACAGTTGATAAGTTATGTCATTGATCTACAGTATCTGGTGGGACTGCTGTTGTATGAACAATCTACCATAAGCTAACCCTTCAGTATTGACAGCCATATTGAGTAACTGGTGGAATTGTAAAAGCCAATGTACCATTAGCTAATGCTTTAGAAGGGTGGCCACTTCTGAGTAACAGTTGTATTTATAAAAGCCAATCTACCACCAGCCAACCCTTCAGTATAAGGGCAGCCATTTTGAGTAACAGGTGGAATTTACAACAACAAAGACATAACGCAGACACTCATCAAGAATCCACAGCTTACCCCCAGCTGCTTATTTAGTTTCCAGAGAATTAGGTATTTCTAAGAACTAGATACAATTCTCAGAGCAACTGTGGACATTTGCTACGTAACGCCATCCAGTCTAGGCCTATAGCTCTGTTGTCATAAGGGGAACACCAATCTCTGCGTAGTCATGGTTGTAACTACCATACGGTGTGTAGGAGATCTGCTCATAGGCCTGTCTGCCTTCCTCACCTTTGCGACAAAAAGAGAAAACTCATCAAGAGGTTGATTCCAACCTGGAGCAGTTCACTTCTCTTTTAATGTTAGAATGTCTTCACTGCAATTAATTACGGTGTTTTGTTAAAATCATCATAGCAGCCAAGAAAGCTGTACTGCGCATGATTTTCACAAGATACATTATGAAACAGGAAAAACATGAACACTATCACAGGACCAAAACAATACTTTCAGTCTGAATTCAGGTCATCAATTATTCAAATGAACTGTGACAAAAACATGTCCTTGTCGTTGTTCACCTTGCTACTTGTGACTAGTCTTGTACTTTTCTTGACTTTAACACCTGCGCAGCAGTGTTTTGTCAACTCATAAATGTCATCTTTGTTACCAACGAGGCACAAAATATCTTCCTTCTCAAAGGACTGTAACTATTTCTAAGGCCGCATTTGAATCACTTGGCTACTGCTTGAAAGTACCCACAACTAGGAACAGACTGAGATCACTGCTACATATTACAAATAATGTCTAGCTCCAGCGAAGCCTTTTAGACATCGTCTGGCTTACCAAATGCCATAAGTGCTTCCTTAGCGGTGGACTTGACATCATCCATGTCACATCGTAGTAAGTACAGAAGCTGTTCCAGGGCCTCAGTTGCCTAAGCAAAAATAACATCAACAAGTAGAAACTCTTGATTGGTATTCTAGCCTTGATTCAGAGTTTAATATGGAACTAATCCAAGAAAACATTAAACCTTTATTGCAACGGAAACTTCAGACTTTTGATTGTAAACCTTAAGTGTTAGGAGAACATAAATTGTTTGCAGTTTGATGAAAAGCTTGCTAAATGATCCCTCCCTAAGCTTTCTTCATAGAATGGGAAAAAAATTGGATGACTTGGTCTCACCTTAAGAGCAGCAATTGCAGCACATCCAGCCTGACGTAACGACAAATCTCTCTCCTCTAAACATTCCAAGTAGACATTAACAGCCTGTTGAACAAAACAAAAACAGCACACAGATGAACCATACCTGTCTTAGAGTTATCAAAATCAACAAGTCGGCCATCTTGAACTGAAAGTGAGGCTATCACCTCATTCTCACATAAAAACAAATAGTTTAGCAGCTAATAAAAGATTTCCATCCTTGTGCTCCGATGGGTAAGTTGAAATTAAAGATGTAAAGCCACGTCACTTCGTTTGCCCTACTAAAAATATTTTTCAATGTCAGGCGTGCCTTCTTGGCAAAAACGTCAGGTACCTTTCCATGTCAGAGTGTTTAATAAATGAAGTGAATTCAGGGATCATGATCCAAACCATTCATCTTGTGATTAACACCCATTCCTCCAAGAATACTGAAAGGTTAAGATTGAAAACTCTAGACTTTGCCATCTTCAGAAATTTGTGAAACGGCAAAATGGCTGAAGAGCAGTATTCCAAAAAACATTAAGCAAAGTCTCAACATCAACCCAACACCAACCCGTCTTTATAAACTGACATCAAGACACACTCACTTTTTTTCTCATCCTCTCTTCCCCTCCGATGGACTCCAGATAAACCCTGACCCCCGTTTGTATAGTGGCACGGTCCTCAAGCAGCAACAATGCCAGAGCACGCAAGTTACCTGTTGATAGTAACGATCCTTTGGGAAGTTTCTTCAAGACCTTTAGGAGGTCAGGATTGCTTGCTTCCAAGCTTGCGGTCAACTCAACTGTTGAAAGATAAATATAAATGTACTGAATAGAAATACTCATCTCTTGATTTTTAACTCTGTATCTATAACATGTCAAATTACAGCTCTCCTTAGCTTTCCAAAGCAGAACCAAGAGTTCCAAGAAGGCCTAGCATAGCAGGACTTCCTACTACAAATTTAATCTTCCATAGCTATTGCAGATCATGTTTAAAGTCTCTTCCCCAGCTGTGCAGGATAGGTGCAAAGTTCTAGAGGTTGTTTCTTTCCAGCAGAAGTCCAGCAAAACTAAGGCTTGACAAGATAGATTCATAGAATTTCAGGATTGATTTTAAGGCTTTCATGATGGGCTCCTAGAAATTTCAGAACAGGTTCCATGAGTTTCTGGGAAAGATTCCTGGAATACTTAAGGATATCCGATATACTCCTGGATTTTCTACGACAGATTCTTAGAGTTTGCAGTTGACACTTGGAGATCAAGAACACAAGATACTAGTACAGGCAACGATGCTGTTCTGCTTACAATCTTTGGTGAGGTAGTTGATGAACTTCTCTGGGTTCTTACGATCATCGGTGGCAAAGAAACCAATGTACTGGAACAGAGTGATGATCGTCTTGGGGTCGTAAAGGTCGACTGGTCTCTCAATGATTCTATTGCACAGACTTTGGAAAACTGTAACATAAACAGAAATAACTATGCTTCACATCAATACATGTAGAATGTAAAAGTGGAGAATTTACAGAGATTTCAATCAATATCTATGAAACACCTGTTGCTGATGTGGTTATCGGATCTTCAGAGAAGTAGTCAGGACAGGAAAACATCTTCCTTCAGAAATTATCCTGATGCAGAAATTATTCCTGTATGCACTGTAACAAGTGGTCATCAAATACTCCAAGGAATGCCAAGTTAATTGTCTAATAAACAATCTCTCTCATTATTGTTCCAGCTGAAGTCTTGAAAAGCTTGTCAGGTTTGACTGCTCCTTTTTGCTTCATGCTTACAAATATTACTATCAAAGAGCGAGAACGTAATGTTTACAACCGTCAGTGATGTCTTCTAGGCGTTGTGATCAAGGATTCATCGATGGTTCCCTGACAACTCCAGATAGAATTATCAATATGACTTACCGTCATCGGCGATGTCTGGATGGCTGGTTCTGAGTTTGGCACCGAACTTTACATCAAGTTGAAGCAGGAATGACTCGGCATTAACATAGAGGGCTTCCTTCTCAGCACAGTGCTGCCAGAACTCCAAAAGAAGGGGGTTCAACTTCAACTCTGGAAACACTGTTTAATAACAAAATCAAATATCATGTAAACTTAAAAAAGAGTAGGATTTGAACCCAAGACCCATGAGCACCAATTCCAGAGCTCTAGCAAATAGGTAAACAATCTCTAAATTGAAATCTTTCAGGACTTGGCAAAAAACATTTTCATGATAGGTGATATCCCCTCAGTGAGCACCATCACAAAGAACATTATACCGCCCTCAAGCGATCATGCATAAGATCTGCTCCTACATACCATCATCTGCCCTTGTAATTGGAGTACTGGAGACAGACAAGACCACTAACTGCTCAATAATGACAGCTTGCTTCTTCAGTTTCTGCAAGGCAATGGTCTCCTTCAGCTTCAAGGGACCAAACGCTCCAAGATGCTACAAGGAAAAAAGGTGATATGCTATTAGTTCCCAGCACAATTATACACAAATGTTCCATTTTACAGCTTAAACTATTCCATTTGAGTGATTACCTATACATCATATAACAAAGAGTCTTCTTTGAAAAGACAACTTTCACAGTTGTGCTGTGAACTTAGCAAGTGGTTCAATATCTATTCTTCATTAAACAGGTGTGCTACAATGCCAAATATTCAACAGGAAATTTTGAAAGGAACTCAGTGTTCCTTAAAATTAAAATTCTAACTCTAGAACCACCTGCCAATGAAGCATAACGACAGTAGAGTCCTTGTTCAAGAAAGATTTGATTTTGTGGAAACATTTTTCCCATAATTCCTTTCTTTTTGACAGCACAATCCAATGGGAATCTTTCTGATTTTAAACTTACACTCAACAAGTACTCGATGTACATCAAGTGTTGCACCAGCACCATATCAATGGAGTCACTGTTGGTTGTTAGTTTGGGGGAATTCTCCGAACCCTCTTCCCAACACCTGCTGTGGGACTCCCCTGGCGAGTCCACCAACCGATGCTCACGCTGCTCATTCATCTCAATGAGTCGGCTCTCGCGTTTCTCACCCAAGTTAATGATCCGCGAACTGCGGTTGGCTCGCGTCATTGGAAGGGTCTGAGGCAGTGGCACAGGGGCGGAGCTTGGGGAGGAGTAAGAGGACAAGGAGGGGTAGGAACCTCTTCTTGGGAGAGTTTCGTCAAGACTCACACAGTCGCTTAGTCTATCAGAAGACTGAGACTTGCAAAACTCATCTGATGTGAAACTGGATCTATTTCTGTAATGGAAAGAATCAAAATCTTTGCCTGTGCATACTGGTACATGTACAAGTGTTTTCAATACCAAACTCAACACCTTAGGAATGCATTTTCAATTAAAAACAATCAAAAACTGAAAACTGAAGCATGTTCATAAAGTTTCACCTGACATTTCGATTTGAAAATTAGAAATATATTATTCCACTCATTTAAAAAGAATTTTTAACCCTAACAGTCCCAAATCCAAATTCCAAAATTTCAACATGATTTGACATCCAGCATATGGAAGGGTTAAGGTTAAGCAAGAAGGTTCAATCAAAGTAGAAGGCTTCCGATTTATCCACTCCAAGCACGAACAAAGGTACGCTCTCACTTCATGCGCATTTGATGCAAAGAGCCGAGTCAGCGTAACAAATTTTGTCTAGAGAAGGTGTACTTTAGAGCAGGGCGGATAGGGCTGGACAGTTTGATCATAGTTCCCAAAGGTAAAAAAATGCCATCTTCATGTGACATGACTTACTCATCCATGCTGCTACTTCCACTGTCAATTGGTACATCTTCATCATCATCGACTTCATTTAAGAAATCAAAGCTTTCCAAGGCAGTCTTCACTTGCAGACTCATTGTGGAGTCTCTCTTTTTACGCTCCCGGATTTTCTACAAAATTGTCAAAAAACCATTTGTAAGACACTGAAAAGTTTCATGCCAGCTACAAAACCAAGTGATTGTACATCTTACAAAACTGTTCCTACAATATCCAACTCTTTGTCCTTAACGGGGGCATGAGGCTTCATGTACAGTAACAGTGCCTCTACATTCCTGAACACTGAAAAATCCTGGAGGATTTTGGAGGACTGAAGGTTAAAAGAAATAATATATGAGTCACACACCTTGAGAAGGTCATTCAGATGTCCAACTTGCTTCTCTAGGAGCTCCAGTTCAGTGTATTGACCTTTCAGGATTTCCAGTAGCCTGGTAACATTGTGTAAGGCTTCTTCCAAAGTCAACGTCAGCGATGTGTTCAGATCTAACGTCTTGGGCAAGAATTGCTTGGGTGATTTAGGTGGTTCTTTGACGTTGCTGAAAGATTTCTGAATTCAAAAACAAAAAATACCAACTCACACTGACAGTTAACACCTTTGTAGAGAATTATTTAATAGAACAAGAAACTTCTGTATATTTCACAGCTTAACCCATCGTGTCTCGGGCAAAACTTATGGCATTTATCTTACCGAAGTACTGATGATAGATTCTGTGAAGGCCCTCTCTCTCCGACTGTAGGAATTCTTTGGACTTTTGTAGGTCTCCTCATTGATGTGGAATGGACTGAAGACAAGAATACACAAAAAATATTGACTGGGTAAGTTCCCCAAGCAAACACAAAACTAAATCTACTATCCTTACAGAGATTTGGAACAAAAAACTTAGTATGCAACTCCAATTAGTTCTAATTTTTCAATATACATGTACGGTACCTGCTGACTAATTGTCAAATGTACACTCAAAGTACATGAGTGGGTAATATAAATACACTGGCCTGCTAACATACCACAACATATATTAACCTGTATAATATGCATTTATTGTACAGTCAATATATACATGTAAATATACTGACCAGCCATATACTGACCAGCCATATATTAACCAGCCATATATTGACCAGCCATGTACTGACCAGCCATATACTGACCAGCCATATACTGACCAGCCATACATCTATAATGACCAGCCATATATTGACCAGCCATATACTGACCAGCCATATACTGACCAGAAACTGACACAAAACTGGTGAAAGCACACATGCTAGTAATAACTAGAGTGTAAATGGATCCAAACCAACACATTCACTGAAGACAAGAATATGCAAAAATATGTTGACTGGTCATGTCTCTGATGCAAACACGCGAGCAAAATTACAAATATTTTGAAGCAAAGTTTATATGATGCAGTTCCAACCATGTTTCTCAATGTACATGTATGCTACCTGCTTACTAATTACCAGTAAAAGTCCTGGCATTAAGATGCTCAAATGCTCACCAGAGCCTTAATCCCAGTATTTGCGTACCATTTTGAACAAAAGAATTGTCCTGTGGACTGCAACCATGCAAAGCCTCTATTCATGGACCTGTTGGACTCTATGAACCTACCTCCATGTAACAACCAGATTAAGTTTAATGGTCCCGTTCTCGTTAACGTCTATTGTCAGTGTCTGAGGGTTGGCTTGGTAGAAATCTGACGTGTCAAACTCTAAGCTACCAATCACCATGTTGGATCGTGCGATGCCCCGCATTTCAGTGACCTAAAAACAGAAACAAAACTTGTTGATATGAACACCAATCCATTTCATATTCATGAGCAATGTACTTTGGTTTTCATTGGTATTTATTTCTATCAGCAGTTAAAAAAGGAAACAGTTTCTGTCCACTCAAGACAACAATTGGGCAAAAAATGCTACGGTACAACATAAAACACTCTTCAGTTTCACTACATTGATTTCCATGTAGAGGCTGTGCATGCAGCCATTATCCCAGCAAGTGCTTTTGTTCCACAGGGATATACACGAGTAGACCTTTTGTGCTATCCCTCCGTAACAAAATCAGTTACTGGAAAGTTGGGGCTGCCATGCACAATCTCTAGAACAATTTCATAGAGCTGCTTAAGCACAAAGCATGAAAAAACCTTCCTTGATAAATCAGATTACTAGCCAAAACTCAATGTGATGTATATTGGTTTGGAATGGTATTCACCTGTCTTTTGGTTAGCATGACAATGACACCGATTTTGAGCTGGTAACCTTTATTTATTAAGCAAGGTTTTTTTCGCAATTAAGCAAATTCCGTGCTGAAGCAGCTCTATGAAAATTGGCCCCTGCGAGGCTTTGAAATAATCAAATGAGGTAACAATTCAAATTGGAAGAACGTTGCCATTACATGTATGTAAAGGTGGCAATAAGTATGATTCCATTTTCAATATTTTGTGTCATTTTCTGTACCTTAATTGTCAAGAAGTCAGCCAACATCGGGTACATAACAATCTCCTCCACATCCCAGCTCTGACTCAAATCCTTCTCCACTTTGCATCTTAATTTCCACTTCTGTAACCCGTATTTGAAGACAACCTCATAGATGTCCCCTCGACATACCCTGGCGAACCCTGCGATACCTGGAGGGGGAGACATGCAGGAAGTATCTCCCTTGTGTGAATGGGAAATTAAAGAAAGCGATACCTGACAGTGCTTCCCGAGAATTAGTTAATTTAAGTTGAGGAACAATGTACAAGGATCAGAAATCAGAGAAAAAGTTTGATAATACGGACTTCTGACGCCGAGGTGAGCAAAGAGTCAGACTTATACTTAGATATGAACCCCGCTCAATGTTGCCATTTCAAGAGCCAACAGCAAAATGCACAGAATCTTCTGAATAATTCCTAATGTCTACCATACGTGTACATGTAAGTCAGGTCAAAAGTAATTACGCAGTGCCGACTATTGAAAGAAATGGCTTCCATTACAGACTCATTTTCATGCAAGCCTATCGTGTGATCTGATTTGATAGTGGTTAACTTCTGATTGACTAGTCACTGACCTGTGACCTGTGAAATAAGGCTCAATTATCTCAGGGATAACACTTGGATGATACAGACTACAGACACAGCGTCACTGTCTTGAAAACAAGTCTATTAAGCACCTGTCATTTCATACTCACCATCTATTCTAACAACAAATGCACCTAGATTAGCCTCCAATTCAGCCTCCATTTGACAAAGACTCTGAAAAAGAAACCCCAAATATCAGCTGGCTGTTAATCCATACAGTACTTGACAAAATGTACATGCAGATCTGTCCATCAAGATTTCCTCTGTTTAAATCGTCAGAAAGATATCAGAATGACATTCCAAACACACTGCAGCTTTCTTCTTGCACAATTCCAAAAGGCAATCCATAAGGTCAACTACATGTAAATCAAGTTCAACAAGCAAAAAACAAGTCAATTAAACCAGGAGAAATGAGAATTCTTTGGTAATAAATTTGAGATTTCTCTCCTGCCTTCTGAAATCACATCGCCACAAGTACTAGCTCAACTCAACAGGTATGGTACCAAACTCCACAGGACATTTTTATTTCCTCTTTCTCCGTAAATGTTGTTATAAAAAGCACAGTCAACCTGGGGAACACACAAAATCCCAGAGGTCCCATAGAAAAAAAAACAGTATAGCTAAACCACAATGACGATAGAACTACCATGCTCCATGAATTGAAGTGTATTGACACACATGATGTGATTTCCGATCCAGTGAATTTAATCTAATCTGATTATATGGTCACTTGAGAATCACTCAGATTTGTGAGATGCAATCACATGTACACATATGTACATGGGAGTTGGTAAAGGCCAATGAACTACAACAGGGTTCAGAGCACAAGCAAAAGTTACACGTACAGTCAAACCTCACAGTTAATACGAGATTCTGATTATAATAAGGATATTTTCAGGTCCCAATCTTTTGCTTTTCATTGGTTTCATTTTGGATAACACAAAGTTTTTGTTAGAACATGGTATTTTGCCAAGTCTGGTATTAACAAGATTCAACTATATTCTTGCACAAACACTGCACAGAGAAAGAAAAAAACTACATGAGGTGCTGAACTTGACTATGTGTTTTCAAGAACGAAGTTGTTCCAGAATCCTAAGAACAATGCAAATAATAAAATTGCCTCCATGGAATCATTTCTCTCCACTGAGTATAAAATGTGAAATCCTTCCAAACCACTGCACAGAATAACCTTATCTAGCCCAACACAGATGGTTTCCATATCTCTGTCTCCATAGGAGTCTGGGTATAGGATTAATTGGTTCCTTATGTAGGGGATACAATTGGTGAGGATAGATTTCTATAGGGGTTATCCAAGGACAGCCAAGCTACCTACTTCCTGTGGGTTGGGTGCTGTGGCTTGGTGTTAAGACCTACACAAGGTCATCAAAATACTTAACATCCAAATACACACAAGCAAAAGGAGTACAGGCATGGGTTAGGCCCACTCAGTAATTATCCCAAAATAACAGTTAAACAATAAATGCTTATTCCAAAATAAATATGAAGGAAATGCCAAAGAAAACAGAAATTATTTGAGAAAACGAGGAAACCCAAACAGAGACAAATCAGACAGCTGTGTTTTGAGGAGACGCTTGAATGTTGAACGTCAGTAAGAAATTAAAAATTCATTGTCAATATTTTGTAAACATAAAAGGAGATTTTGTATAGATTCTTTCAATGCAAGTCCTAAAGAATTCTTAATTTACATTTAAAAGTTAATTTAAGGTGTCATTATCTGCTACAAAGATGCGAAAGCATCTTACGTGGAATGATCACTTGGTAATTTGTAACAGGCCCCCCAGGCTTGTATGACTTGTTACTCAGATTTGGACTTGAGAGATGTGACTCGGACTGGGACTCAGACCCAATGTTTCGTGACCTGAATACCTGACAGGCACTCAGCACATGTGCATGTACATGTAAATTCAAGAAATGACAAACTTTGTCCCTATTTCAAATTATTTTCCTCAGTTGGGACGCTCTGGACGTTTGACAATGATGGACACATCTCAGGATGAGAAAGAGAAATTTCAAGACAGAACTCAGATCTCGTTCTCACCTGTGTGCAATCTCTGACACCAGCTTTAGCTTCGTTGCTTGGCTCTTTAGCGTGAGGGAGATTGGTGTCAGCATAAGCCTTGACCACATTCACCGCACCTGATGTAGCAAGAGACAAAAAGGGTCATAAAAAGGTTACAACTCTATATGCACCTGTGACTTAAAAGATGGAGTGATGTTCCTTGCAAACAACAGTTGTAAGAGAATTTTAATATCTGGTACTAATGTAAGGAAACTATTGATCTATTACGGTTCCGAACAGTCGCAAAAATAAGACAATTGGAACTTTTAAAACAGATTTGAAATGAATTTGTTAGGAAGCAGCTGTTTGCATTTCTACTCAAGACATGTCTTCTCCTATTTCAAATAAATCAAAATGGCAGGATTGTCGGAGTAAGTCCATCAAAAATGCCCATGTTGTCTAACCTTCTCTAACTTTCAATTCCTTGTCGTACTGTTCATGCACTTCTTCAACTTTGGCAAGGTGAAACTGTAATTTTCTGGAGAGAGAAAAGAGACTGAGAGAATGAAGAAACATCTCATCACGGCACAAGTGCATTTTTGATATCATTTTGAACACCAACTTTTACAATAAACATAAACTTTGGAGATTGCTAAGCCTGTTTGCTGAGATACCGATGCATACCATAAACTGGCCCTTGTCATTTTCAAAATCACTGAAAACTTTTGAAAAGAGAGTCCCACATATTTCTAAGCAATTTCTAAAAACCAGACATTTCACATCATACAAATGACATCTCGGATTATGAGATATCACCCACAATAGTACAGGAACCTCATGGTCTGGCATCTATATCCTGGGGGACACCTCAACTCCTTATAAGGACCCGCAACCAAACCTCCATCAACAACCTTATAACCTGACCCTGTGACCTTTGGTTTGACCCTAGACAATCCTTGAATGGGTCTGTGGTGACATGAGGTGTCCCAAGAGCACTATAACTTCAAATTTTTAACACAGGCTATGCAGTAACCCATTTCATCATGTGGTGAATGAAATTCCCAGGTGGTTTGGGTATTTTTGGATGATTTTTCCTTACAGAAGAAAACAAGGAAGTATCTGCATCTTATTCCTTTTTTTAAAGCATGGATCAAAATCATCATGCATGCTGATTGCCTTAACTCCATAGCACAAAATCTGTAAAAACACACAGTGACACATGCATTCTTTTTTAGTCCGTGTGGCTCTGAGATTATTTAACCGGGTTTGTCCAAGACCTCAGACAAAATTTCTGAGAAGCTCCAAACCACAAAAATCAATTATCTTACTTCCTTTCCCCACAAACATCCATTTCCAATTCCAATTTCCATGTATTCCGAACCTCAATACGTGCAATTTACATTTCTGAAATCAAGCAACTCACAAGTCTGAAGACAATTTTTCTTTACTTCAAAAACTGCAACAGTCACTGTACTTATCAAGATTAAGTTTAAAAATCAAATATGGCAGAACTGGACATACAAGAATGCATGTACCATCTGAAATAGCCACTATAAATAAATGAAAATTATGGAAAATGGAAGATTTGCACACAGCATTAAAACAAAGTAGCCTCCTATGTACATGAACATTTATTTAGTTTCAGAATTTAAAACCCTCCTCATTCAGATGTCTGAAAAAGACAGATTTCAAAACCACTTTTTCATCAGCATCCAACAGGTGCCATACAAAGCTACACCCAGAAAAAAAAAGTTTTCTGACAAAGAGTCAGTCTTTTCATGAAGCACTGAACGCTGAAGACTACATAGCAAGGAAATTTTACAGACAAAGTCAACACAAGCAGGTCAATAAAATTTAATTTCATCCTCTAAAACAGATACTACAATCCTTGGGGAGCCATGCTATGTTTGTTTTCATTTCAGTTTAGATTTCATTCTCTGATGTTTTTGTTGACCATAGAAACCACATCTCAGACCCAGCTGGAGACAGGGTGGCTGACTGCAGCCCCTGATAGCAACATGCCTGTCTGGTGAAGGCAGTCACCATGAATTTAGCATACAATAGTGATGGAGACTGACCAGATTGTAACATGATCATGCAGCAAACCGAGGGGCCATTTACAATACAGTGTCTGCTTGCTATTTTGAGCTCTGAGACTGACTCAAATTCGGATTTAAATTTCTCCAGATCCACTACAAGCAAGGTTAAAACTGTTGAAGTTCCCACGGGGTACACTGACTCTAAACCCAATAGACTGGTTTTTCAGTGTTGTGGTTCACGGCTTCTTTTCTGCCAAACTTGAAGTTCAAAGGCTGTGCTTTTAGTTTCCTGTATGTACTATATGTATATCATGCTCAACTGCTTCACTTCAATGCCAACGTATTTCAAGTACATGTACATTTAAGGGGGAGTTGACAGTTTTACATGTATTTTTTGGTGTTAGGATGATCAGTTGTTAATAAGTAGTATATTTTGGAGTGATCACAAATGCTTCGTTTTCTTGTGAACAAGAAAATTGAATGAAACGTTGCTCTCCTGAAGGTTATGAAACAAATCAGCGTCAAACCAAGCAACTGCATTAACCCTAACCCTCCTCAATCCTTCACCTGTTGGAGGACTGAGGAGAGTTAGGGCTAATGATTTCTCACACAAGCTGTGATTAATAAAGTACATGTATTTCTGCTACATGTATGTCCCATTCACATTACCCTAATCAATTCCAACCAGTAGGAAGTGGCATCCATCATGCCAGAGTACTGCATGGAAAACCAAACATTCTGTGCCTCGCACGAAACACAAAATGGTGTTATTGAAAACAAAATCGTTTTTAAAAATAAAAGAAACTTTTTGAAACATTACGCTTACCTTATGTATCTCTCGGCAACTTTGATTTGCTGGGGAAGGAAACCAAACAAAACTTGAATCAATACTCACAACTGAAATGCACCTTCAGAGGCTACAGATTGAAAGAAAATTAAAACGACTTTTGCAAATGTCATTTGAAATGTCTAGAAAACTTAAAGGTAAGAGATCAAATTGCAAGTCTTTGCTTTCAGCACTTAAGGTATGAATTCTCATACAGAGGTATTTTTGGACCAAAATGTACACACGTGAGGAAAATATTGCCAACATTCTTTGTCAGGGGTAAATTATATTGAATCATCCCCAAGGGAAAGGACCAGACACCAGCCATGTACGGATGTAGGCTCAAAAAATTTTATCAATCTCTCTTTCTCATTTGTAGTGGTAGGAGTTATTTCAATCATCAATTTGTGGTGTTTTGAGTCTTGAAAGAAGACTCAAGCTAATGAGCACAATATCAGACACAACCGGAAACCAAACCAGACACCAAGGTGGACTTATTCCCCCTGGATTGAATGTGCTACATATCACACTATCCTGACTTCCAATACATTTTTCATCACCACTGTTGGCCATTAGTTTTTGTCAAAGTTGTGGAAAAATCTCAATCACTTCTAGCTATTACCACTACATGTACTCTGAACTGAGTAACTTCAGGGGAACTGTACCAAGGAAGTCTTAAGGATCTTGGTTCATTATAGCCTCCCCCTCCCTTCCAAAAGAAATGAGAAAGATACGTCCAAATCCCAACTTCTATACATGTACCAATAGTCAATCCATTATACAACAAGGGCGTGTGTCCAGCGACAAAATTCACAATACATGTACTTCCCCTTCAAATGCTCTGAGGTAAAGGAAGTGAAAAAAAGGACAAACAAACATCCCAGGACGGAAATGGATTTGTGCTAGGGGTCATAGATAAATGTCACAACATACGCTCACACGTACGTAGCTCTATGCAGATTGTAAGGGAAAAAAAGTTTGAGGAAAAATTACAGATAATTCAATGCCAAAATGCTTTTCTTTTCAATTTACATAACTGTGTAAAATCCATCAAAATTCATGACATGTCCAAAAGATGAGCTCCATGTCATAATATCAAATAATAATTTTCCCCTTTTTTTACAGGTACATGTATCCATGTACAACTCAAACAGTGTACATGTATTCTGGTTTTCACAGTTTCAAAACCTTCACTGTGTCTCAAAAAGGTATCATACCATTTTGCAAATATTAACTGCTCAAAAGAACCTCACCCATGACGAGGAATTCTGTAAACTACCGGTACATGTAACATATGGGGCGATAAAGGGTCGAAGTCCACTGTTATAAAGACACGTTTGGATGTGAACTGAGACAGTAAAATTTACATATTCATAAAATTGCCACACTCTGGTGACAGAGGAATAGGTCTACTCACCTTCTCTAGATTGTAATGAAAGCCCTGAAAGAAAAGAAAAAGAAACGTCAATGTTCAAATGACCAAAAAAATTGTAAAGGCCATGCACTTTGTGTGAAGGGACACTGTATACATGGACTGGTTCGTCTGTCCATGGCTTGTGTCTATTAATAGAAGGCAGTCTTATGAACAGTAAGAAACTGAGGACATGTCCGAAACGGGCTTCCAGAGCTATGGCTAGGTCTATTGTCTATGCATCTCAATGCATTTTGAATGGAGCGAAGACCTAGACCTAGCTCTAGACAACAGATTCCGATGCAGACTGAGAGTGGTACCTTGTAGGACCATTTACATTTAAGACAAGGATTTGTGTCCCAATAGTACCTAATTACAATCCCAAACATGTAACAGGCTAATATAGTAATAGTCGGATGTGCTTTGAAGATTTTCGTGGCAAAGGTGAAAAGTTACATGTACATGTGACGTAGAGAGGTTTGTGGTAGCACTGTGCAAGGGCATCTCTTTTGGAGTAAGTGTGGTTCTGAATAGTACACGAGGGTACTCAATGTTTTGGACAGTATGCTCTGTCCAGCGTCTGAAGGCAGTCTCCTGCCAATGGACAAAGCATACCGTCAGACAGCTTGAGTACCCTCTGGTTCTTTTCAGAACCACACGTACTCAAAAGAGATGCCTTTGCACGGTGCTGCTGCAAACCTCTCTAAAAGGCTAATAGTCCTTATTCATGAGTCGGCCATACTGAAATTAAATGTGAGGCTAAGTCGTCACTTGTGCACCTTGAAAGCATAAAATGAAAAAATAAAATGAAATGTCCTGTCAAGTTACTACCTGCCTGCTCGGATGAATAATTTCAGATTTGTGATAAAATATACTCCATTAGAGTTATATGCCAAATTTTGAAAAAACTGAAAGGGAGGCTTGGAAACCTCACGGTCTGATATCATCCCATTCAAAAGCAGATTATAAAACAGCATTTGAACAACAATATCAAAATGGCTTCATCAGGAATAAGAAGCAGTTGTCTGCCATGTTTGGGATTAGTCTTGAATCCAACATGCTCTATGAAGAGACCCATTTCTTGAACCAAGACTAGCTTCTTCTTACCTGTCTGGAAGAGGATGAGTGTGGATCATGTTGATGCTGTTCCATCACATCCAACTTCTCCTTACTCTGTTCTATTGTATCCCTACAGCATCAAAAAAGGAGAAAATGTCTTGTCTTTTGATCTACATTTCTTGAGTTCACACAAAGCTAGGTCACACAACCCAAATTCTAGTGGCAAAGGGAGAGAATTCTTCTGTTCCTAGTTTAGTTGAAAAATTTTGGCTGTTTTAAAAAATGTTTTTGACAGACATTACACTGAGAAAAGACAGACATTCTTTTCTGAGTTGATTTTACAAGAAGTGCAGTTCCTCTTTGGTCAGTTTTTAAGTACACAGGTACACGTAAACACTGCAATTATACCGTTGAGTTTTTGTAGGAATAGCTGCATTGTAATTACTCCAAAGAGACATTTCTTACTTTAAGCCTTTCTTGAGGCTCTCCAGGATGGTGTGCATACGCTGGGGTCTTGGTTGTCGAGGCATCTTCAATGCGTGGTTGCCGGGCGGGGTTAACATCTTCTGTCGACCTCGTCTCTCCTTGAGCTTGCCTTGTCTGCTGGGGGTCCCAAAACCCCTCAGACCCTACAAGAAACAAACATGATTAAGTTTATGTTGAAAATTTCTAGAGTTCTGAGAAGACTCGGATTTTTAAAAGTTTTTTCTCAAACTGATGTGCCTCTTACATGTGAAGCACTCTAAATTACCAGTAACTAGTTTTATCTTTTTAGCTAACACAGTAAAACATCCTGCTTGTTAATCACAAATTTTTCGCTACAGTTCTCAGAGAAAGTACATTCTCAAATAAAATCTCAATCAATTCATAAAACTTTCAAAACATCAATAAGCCTTACTTCGGAGTAATTTCTATCCATTACAGTATGAATTCACACATCTGGAAGAACTCCGGCAAATTCAGTGTTCAAAACAAATGAAAATACTTGTAGCAGGCAGCCAGTCAACAACCGTGTGAAGGCTTTCTAAATTAATTGCAACTGTAGATGTCCGAGGTATACAGGACAAGTCCACGCGCTGTTCAATTAACAGCGACACGATTTGTTGAAAAGTATCTCACACAGCAATGTATGTTCAATCCCGGTTGTTGACATCTAGGTACAAGTTGTGGTGGTCAAACCCTGCCTACTTGCTCTTCAATTGCCAGTACAGGGCTTAACATGCTTTGTTACATACATCAGACTCCAACTTTACAAATGCACAGATCTTGACATTTCCACTTGCCCGTAAATGATGTCATCTGTCTACTGTGTGTATACATGTATGTAGATGTGGACTACATGAATAGACAACTCCTCAAATCTCCACAAAGTATGGTCAATGTATGTGCCTTGCATCCTCAAGAACGGAGAGCCAGCTCATCCAAAAGGTACAAAAAAAAAACAAGCTTGACCACTGCCCAGAAATCCAAACATCACAGTAGGCCTGTTCTGAAGAAAAATGCTGCGTTCCTGCTCAATGTACCTGCTCAATGTACATGTGCAATGTGCAATCATGTTACAGAACCACACATGAAGTGGTCTGGACTTCCCATACAATGTTTCAAGTACCATACTATACATGTACATGTACTTGCTTCACATCAACTGTAGCGTCAACTGCGAGGGTAGATCTACATTTTAAAGTCTTCCTGAACACGGAAATACAAAATCCAGATTTTGAAGAGTGTACACACATAACCCGCAGTAGTTTGCTGACAAGGAAGCTGTAAACACCCAACAGTGGAGTGCACAACTTGACAAAGATGAGCAGAGAATTCAGCTTGGCATAAAATATTAAATTGTTCGGTGTCCTGGTATGCAAGAGGTGAAACCGACATCCGTGTACGAAGATTACACGTACATCCAATAAAAGGCATTTGTCCAGTGAAATTTTTGGTCAATATCCACTGTACATGTACAGTGTATGTGGTTTCAGGCGTATGCATGAAATGCCAACTTGTCACAAAAGGTGAGGAAATTTTCAGTTCCAGTTGAGTAAGTTTTCATCGCAACAGACCTCAGTATTGATGATGCCACACTTTGTTTGCATGATGGCACTCAGTGGACCGTGGTCCCCCCTCCACAGGAAAGTGCACAAGTAGTAAGCCTTTTTTGAGTTAAATTTGAATAAATCTGGTAAACTGTGTCATGTGATTGAACACAAACATTTACAATTTGAATTTCCTAGACTAAAGACACTGTTGCTACCCATATACATGTACATGTACCTTGTGATTCGGGGCAAGCTTTTGCATAGCGACACCATCTCTGGAATGAACTGGTTCCTTTGTGCCCTTCTTATCCATTGAAAACAGTGTATTGAGGAAGGTGTCTCTCACGTACTGTAACTAAGCAAAAGCTTGCCCTGAGGTATAGCAACAGTGTTGAGTTCAAAAGAACAGAATTCCTGATACATCGAAAAAGTTATGTATGAAAAACCTTTTTTCTGCAACAAATGAGCCATTATAATAACACATGTAGAGGTAATGTTTACTCAACTCAACATGGATGAATTCTGAACCGTGGGCATGTACATGTACCTTATCATGCAAAGATTAAAACTCTCCTCAATAATTGATGAACCACCGAGTGAACTTCACCGTCAATTGACTTCATGTAACTATGGTAACTGAGGAACTAAACAGGTGAACAGTAAAACAGAATGTTGGTAAGATTTGCATGAATGCCCACCAACATTACATGCATAAACAGGGACAAAGCTGATATTGTATTGTCCCCCAGGCAGCATGTTGCGTTAACTCCTACAGCGAACACAGCTTCATGGGATTGATCATCTTTTTTAGGTACATTGTACTTTTTTCAAGTTAAAATATAACATGACTAAAGTTGTAAATGTGGTTGTTTTCCAGAGGACTTGTAAGCTGCATATGTGTACAGTACATGTACTAAGCAAGAACACGGGAGACAAAACTTACAGAGGAATTGACATGTTTAGCCCAAGCACAATCTTAATATTTTTTAAAGCAAAATTGGAACTAGTAAACAATAAACCAGACTGGATTTCTACCCAACGACTTTTTAAATGTGTCATTTCAAGTACATACATACAAGTGCATGTATTTGCTGTGTACATCAAATTTTCTGTGCTATCAAGTGAACTGGTCCCATAGGACTTTGTAACATGGAGGGGATTCACCACATTACACAAACGAGACACTGTGGTGCTTATCACCATTTTAATTTTCCTATTCCTAACCTGATCAAGTTGTATGCAGATGGGTAGAAGATCACAAATAGTGAAATGGTCCACCTCAGCATATGGCAAAACTGGCAAAGTTTTCAAGGAATATTGTGCAATGTATACGGATGGTCAAATAGTCAAATTTCCTTACAGTACAACTAGGAGGCAAATGGTATATTTAGAAACGGGCAAGTGTGGAGTCCAAAATGGAATTGGCAGATCAGAGACACCAAGTCTCATTACATGACAACAGCACTGACAATATCAAACAACAGAGATCAGTTTAAGATAAAATCTTGGCACCAGTTTGATCAACACGAAATTAGTACATTCCAAAGCAGAAGGAATTCTATATATGGCAAATATGAACATGATACCCTTATCAGAATGAATGAATCACTGAATGGTATGCATTCAACAGGACATAAATCCATCAAAACCACAGCATCATTTGCCCTTCAAGGTTTTCCCTGTCTATTTGTCATGTTTGTTGGTAAACCATCTATGCTTCAGACGTTGATGATATCATTTCCCAGATTCTCCAAGTGGATAGGATTTCAGGCCATTGTACTTTTTGTGACTAAGATAACAAGGTGTAGAATATTATTGGTATCCAAAGATTACACCATAAGTACATCCTGGTTTGTGGTTCAGGAAAGAGAATGAAAGATACAAGAGCCACCCCTCCCCTCAAAAAAGAAACTGACCAGAGAGCACGTGAATGAAACCACACAAGTGAAACTACAAAATTCAATACCATATTGTAATGATCACACCAACTGTAAAGCTCTCACAATAAAAACAGCCATAAAATCAAATCTACAGGACAGAATTTCCTATCCATTTCTCTCTTTGTTCCTTGCTTTTATGAAATCCATGTATTTTCTGTCGTTAACTCAATGCTGGTGTGACCTACACGTACTCTACAGGTGTTCAACTGCACTGTGCATGCATATCATTATCACGAAGGTAGATGTCAATTAATTATAGTGAATGTTACCACTGAGCAATACCTGAAGAACATGTACATGTAGGTGTACTTTCTGGCCTTGTGAAGGTTGAGGGTCTGATCAGTGGTTTGTTTATAATTCATCAGAGCACAACCTTGCCATTAAAGCATTTTAAAGGTTGTCAGATATAGAAAGGAATCCGATGTCTAATCGATCAGAGAAGGTATGATCTTGCATATGGCAATTTGTTTTTTAATTAAAGTAATCATATTATTTAGAAAACAGCAAGATTCCCGACAAAAAACCGGCCCCCCACTTTTGTATAGAGTACAGTACAATGTGAACCATATACATGTACATGTATATTTTTAAAGGTATTTTATTTGTACATATAAATTTACATATATGTAATTTTTTTGTACGTCTAGCTACATGAACAGGTGCACATCTGTTATATACATATATACATTGTAAATGTACTGGTGGTGTGTTTAACATTTCATTCATTTAAACCAATTGACTGACAATCACAACTGAAAAATCCAAACTTCACTTTGGGTTTTAATTATTTTTTTTGATAATTTTACCCCCAAAATCACCAAGATAAACTTCAGTGTGTGCATGGGCGCGTATGTAAGCAGGAAAAAAGCTGGAATACACCATAATCGGTTCACTTAAAAAACATAAAAATTATTTCAAAAACACATGAATGTAGACCAAATATTGTGAACACAATCTAGTATCTTCTTTAAAACTAAAAATTAATTCAAATGGTTGTACTGCAATGCCACTGTAACTACCAATAAACCACAGACTTTTACGGTAAGGTAAAAAAAACAAGGATGGAGTTCCCTCTTTCATGGGTCTTGTTTGCATTTCCCACATGTGACTTCTACACAAAGGCTGCTTTCTGAATGAGCTTGCATACTTCACTGGTGGTTGACAAAGTGCTAGGTTAAATGCTTGAATACAATTACATAACGAGGGTTTGTATGACAAGTGCATGATTGATGACTTGATTCCATTGACAGGTGTATGACCTGACATGTTTGGAATGGGAAGACTTTATAGTAAGCGTCACAATATTAAACATTGACTTGGACATCATCTGATTAATAAGAGGTTACTAGTAGTAACAAACATGCACCCATTAAAATTACCCATATCTAGTCAGTCTTGATTTTTCTACTGGTCTGAAATCTTGTTGTAAGAGTTTGGTGTTCCAGTGTGTCAGAAATAATTTCAAGATATACTAGTACTTGTTAGAAATTAGCTTAACAGAGGGGCATCTTTTGAAAACACTTAGTGATATGTTTATTTTAAATAAACGATCACCTTGTTGAAAAAAATGAATGTTTCAGGCGACTTATCTGCTAAAACTTCTTGAGTCCAAGAATTACATGTGGGCCTACATTCTACAATCTGAACTCTGCTGCA